TTGGTCCCTGCTGGGGTCCAGGTGGCCGGTGTACAGCTGCATAAGCCACAGCATCGGGGGTAGGCTGTGCCCCCACGATGCACAGTGGCATACACATCTCCAACCTCAAAGTCATGGTGGGGGAAGAATGTGCCCACCTACAGCTTCCCAGAGAGGCTGGCGTTTCTGAAGATGCAGGCATTGTGCGCCCTGCCTGATCAACTGACAAAAGTGTCCATGGTGGTCAACCAGGGCTTGCAGCACCATTGAGAAGTAGCCCTTGTGGTTGATATACTGGGCCACTTGATGGAAGGGATAGTGGAGCAAGCCAGAGGCTCTTGGAAAGGAGGCCCTGGGGAGTGTTACTGGGGTCCTTGAGAGAAATTCTTCCTCAGGGCCTCCCAGATCATGTGCAGATCGGGGTGTAGGTCCCATCAATCACTCCACTGTAGTTTAGGAATCCCAGTGCAGCAAATCCAGCCATGATGGGATCCAGGTCTCAGGCAGATGACCCTTTGCAGGAGGATGGAGTTGATGGCCCTCAACCTGCAGGAGAGAAACACACAAAACAGAGAGTGAGAGGGAGTGTCTGAGCTCTTGGGAGGTGCCTGCTCCCCTCCCCTCCCCTCCCTCAAACACCCCAGGAGACACTTCCCTCTGAGGCCGCTCCCCCTGCAGCAGGGCTGTGTGAGGGTGGGATGGCACAATCCACTGGGGATGGGGCTTCCCGTTCCACCCCCAACCCCTCCCAATCCCCCTTTCCCAGGACACCCTCCTCCCCCACATGCAGGGACTGCAGCCTGAGAGTGCTTTACCTCCATCAGGAGGGCCCTGATGGTGGACTTCCCCATGCCGAACTGGTTGCCCACTGACCGGTAACTGTCTGGTGTGGAGAGCTTCCAGAGGGCGACGGTGACCTGCTCCAGAGGAATGGCAGGCTGGGGGGGGGGAGGGGGGTGTATGTTGTGTCGTTGGAAGGCAGGAGCAAGCCAGGCACACAGCTCCAAAAAGGTGGCCTTCTGCATGCGGGAGTTTTGGAGCCACTGCTGGACATCCCACTGGAACAGATGTCCAGCCTCCAGAAACACCTCTCCACTGTGGGTTGCAGCTGCAAGGGTCTTGCTCCCACACACAGGGAGAGGGACACAAAAATAAGCTCTGAGTTGAGCTTGTGCAGGACTAGGAAGGCAGCCTGCATAAAGTGTTGTAGAAACTGCAGCCTGGTCGTGTGGGGCCATTGCATGCCCAGAGGCAGCTCCGGCTCCATGGCACAAAGACAAAAGCTGTGGCATCCAAAAAAGCTGGGCAACCAGAGCACGCACTACAAGAGCTTTGCTGTCTCTTGAAGAGGTAGGCAAGCGTGCAGCAGAAGCAGAGAAACAGCTGTCCAAAGGGGACCCTTTAAGCACATGTCTCAGCGAGGCTCCGGCCCCAGCACTCAGAAGCAACTAATGCCCTGCCTAATGCCCTACCTAATGCCCTGCCTGAACTGGGACCGGGTGGCCTTATATGCGAGAGAGCATTCCATCAGTCTGAAAGCTCTCTTTCGAAAAAGCGCATCACTTTTTCAATGCACTTGACCAGTGTGAACGCTCTCTTTCGCAAGAAGTTTTTTTCTGATCTTTTCTGGAAAAGCTTCTTCTGAAAGAAGTCTGCAGTCTAGACGTAGCCTGAGTGGAATGGCTCCGGTTACATACCTCCCTGCTTGGGTCTGAAGCCCTTGGGTGTCAGCTTTGTCCCCAATGGAGATCAGACTCCCCCATCCAGGGCTGTGGGGTTCAAGCAGGCTCAGGCTTCAGTGCCCCATGTTGGCATCATGTAAGAATTTTTGTTGTCAGAAGGGAGTCACGGATAATGATGTTTGAGAACCACTGCTCTAAATGCGTGTTCCCCACTAAGCATTCCCACCAGATGTCATTTCCATCTTCATGAAAAATACATATATAAAGTTTTCTTGGAGTGATTGTCTGAATCACAAGAAAACTGACAAATTTTCTGTGTGTCAGGTTTGTGATTCATCAAGCTAAAACTATACAGAAAAATCTTTAAGCCCATTAAATAAGTTTAGAAAATGGTGCAGGCATGTATGCACACGCATCTCACTTCAGCTCACACAACACCCCGAAGACATTTTTTGTCACTTGGACCACAATCCAACAAGTATGTTTTTAATTTTAAACCTGAGTTGCTCCAGTGAAATTAATGGGATTACTTGCTATTTTAATCATTTTGCTGGATTGTAGCCTTATCTCCTTTCCCACCACTGGTCAACTGACTACCCTTTCTTCCTGGACATTCCTCTCTAATTGGCAGCTCCACTCAGGATCCAGAGGAGGGGTCAGTTTCCTCTACTTGTTGATGTAGCAGTCCCCCCTATTGAAAGCAACTAATTTGCCTTATTTTCATAAAATTTAATAGCTACTAGGCCAGGGGTAGGCAAGAGAGACTCTGCGGGTCGGATCCAGCCTGCCGACCTGGTTGATCTGGCTTGTGGCCGCTGTGCCACTCTCTCGCTCCCTGGCCAATGAGACCTGGGGACAAGGCAGTGTGCAAAGTCTCCTCCTGCTGCCAGGGGCATGTGGCACCTAGAGGGAATCACCAGCTGTTCAAAACAGCTGGGGCTTCTCTCTAGATGCCGGGGGATGGGGGCAAAGACTTCATGTGCTTCCCCACCCCAGGACAATCAGGGTCAGTGGGCGGAGGAGCACAGGAAGTGTCCTGGTCCTGCCCCTTCCAGCCGAGACTCCCCCCCCCCCCACCTTCAGAAATTTGTGAAGGGGTCCCTATTCAAAAGTTATTGTCGACCCCCTTCCTAGGCTCTTCATTTCAATGAAGAGCCTGGATATTTAAAGACATAAGAATCAGAATCCAGGACTATGTGAAGTTCAATTCTATTAGCTCACCAGTACATGCTCTGCAAACCAGCAGTAATTGGTTTAAAACCTGGATTAAAATATGGTTTTGATCCTTGTATTTGAAGTTAAACAATACTAAAAGGAATTCCTGTTCATAGAAGCATTTTGACATTCATTATAGCCATTACGTGCTCCCACCTCTATTCAAGGCGTGAAGTCCATCTGCATTCTGAGCCACAACTTTGTTATTTAAAAAGCTAGTAAAAGTTCCCTAACCCCAATGACAAACAGAGAAACAAAGTTCAAAATTAAAGATGCTATTCAGTACTTAACTCATATGGTTAACTTATGAATAAATTGCCAGACTAAAACAATGTGAAGGTTATGACACAAGATACTACCTACAAAGCCAGTCTCCCCTTTCTATATTCATTGAACAAAACATCAGTCTCAATGGAATTAAGTCAGTCTTATCACAGGCCATCACAATATGTAGCCTGACTGATTAATGCACCTATCTGGTATAGTGAAGTACATGTGAGCTAAGATCATCATTAAAAAACCGATGTGCTCCACAAACCAAGCCAAGGATACACTCCCTATCAATGAATCAATGATATTGTCTAAAGTATCTATAATCAAAACAAAAAAAACAATCCCTCACCACCAAACTATTAGGGCCCAAGTAAGAACATCACTTAGAAATGATATCCTCATGCACAGAAACAGAAAAGCAATAATTACTGTCCTAAAAGAATCAAACCATGGATAAAAAAATATTTTAAAACTACTACTAGAGGCCTTGTTTGGCAATCAAATATGAAGGGAAATACATTACTTCATGAAAGAGCACAGCTCTCTAGGCTGGAAGCGAAACCATGGAATCAGTATGTTCTGACACTGGGAGCATCACGCAACACTTTAACCCCTAAAAAAACAACTCTAGAGCTCTTCAGGAAGTTCCTATAACTGCACAAGTGGGGAAAGTGGGTGACCGTGATGGACCACCACTTAAAATTTAAAAGTATGGTAGGAATATATAACATTGTGTGGCTTGTTTTTATTAACCATGAGAGATTTGATCAACAAACTCTATTTTTATATAATGACCCGAAGATCAGATAATATATTTTGCAGGTAGTGCAAAAGAGGTTCTCTGGCTTTAATTTCCTCCTCCTCTTAAAATCTCCCTCATCCATAGATATTATTGTGGGGCTAGAATTTCAAGGACTGCAAGAGGGTGGACAATTCATGGAAAGTAACCTGCTTTCACCACCAGCTTTGCAGGGATCAAACAGCATAAGATGTGAGGAGGTTTGCTCCAGAGGAAGGCACATAAAACCTGAAGACTAAACTGTGTGTGTCAATTCCCGGTCTCCTGCAAGTTGAAATTATGGCCTATACACTAGAAAGGTCCATATTGGCAAAAAAGTAGTCCTCCATTTTTGTAGATCATTCCAAAATTTTAAAACAAGATTGTTCTGAGTGAAGGAAACAACTACCTGGTGAAAAGCAGCTGGGCCTATTTCAGAAAGTCACTCCACAATTATTTATAATACCAACAGTGTATGAAAGTAGAATGTGGGTCTGATTGAGAGGAGGGTGACTAAATTTACTGATTGTAAGTGTATGAGATTGGCACTTATGTAAAGTGGAATGAGGCTGGTTAGATGGTTATTCGTGTCATGGGACAAAGTTATAGGAAAAAACCTCTATGGGGCCCAGGAATAGATACTTTATCATTATTGTTAGGCTGCATCAATACTTATGTGGAAGTTTAAATTATGATGTGCAACTGCAGCTATGTTAATTGCATAGCTGGAATCGATGTATCTTAATTTGAACTTTGATGCCACAGTGGAAGGTCGACTGGAGCAAATTCTTCCTTTGACTTCTCTTTTGCCTCATGATTTGAGGAGAACCAGCAACGATGGAGGTGGCCTCAGCATTTGATTTAGCTGGTCTTTACTAGACCTGCTAAATTAAACACCAGAAAATCAACTGCTGCAGCATCCATCTCTGTAAGTACAGACGTGGCCGTGAGAGGGCCAGTATCTGTAGATCCATCACAAAGCTGATAGAAGCAGTTAAGAGTTGCTTTCAGATCTGAACCATGAGAAGCAATTTAAAAGCTGCATATCATTAAAAACGATAAAGAAATCATCCTCTATATGCTACAAGATATATTTAATTAGTTGAAGGCAAATCTGCATCAAATTCAGTTCCATGGGGAGCACATCTTTTGGGAAAAAAAAATCTAGATCATAGCATTGATTTTCTCAAATAAAATAATATCCTCAATGCATTCAGCAGTCTTCTGTTAAAGAGGTAATGTAAGTGGTTCAGCAATGATCTTCCACAGCTCCTGTGAAGAAGGAAAACAGTGTATTTTCAGAATGCAGTCAGGTGACTACATCATTATAATTATAAAGAAATATTAAATTAATTTCAACACCTGCCCCTTACGTAAATTGGCTTGCAATATGCATAAGGAGAGAAGTATCTTTGAAGACTGATGATTTAATTTAGCTAATATTATTGGAGCTTTGTATCTTTTAGCTGCATCTACCTATTTCTGCAATTAACAATGGAATTCTGAATTTGAAATAATTAAAGTGTACATACATGTCATTACAATAATTTAACAAATTCTGGGGTCTTCAGAAGGTATGTTTTGGCTGATAACTTGTTCTGCATTTTTTTTGCTTAGTTCTGAAAATGGATTTTCATAATGCCTTCACGTATGTAACGGCATACATATGTGCTCAGTATATTTTACTACAAAAATATGAGGAACAGAAGACAATGAAAGATCTCTGTTTCTGAGGAATGAAGAGCAGCAAATGTGTGTTTGCCTAATGGAACATTACCAAGAAGATTGTCTTGGTTAAAAGTTTAATTTATAAGCAATCCATCTTCACCACTATATTGTAAATTGTGACTATAAAATTTATTTATAGTTTCTGGTAAACTGGAAACACTATGTTAAGGTTTTATTACACATAGAGCACTAACACCAACGCAATCATAATATAAACTTTGGGGAAAAAAAAACTTTTCTCCAGATTTCATATGTTTACTTCATAATACATACTGCAAAAAATAGGATGTTATTTCTTACCACTTGTACACAAAGCGAAATAAAAAACAACTAACTATGAAATTAGGGCTCTGTTGAGAGAGAGAGACAGAGAGAGACAGAGAGAGACAGAGAGAGAGAGACAGAGACAGAGAGACAGAGACAGAGAGTGTGTGTGTGTGTGTGTAATTTTAAAAAAAACAACAACCCAGAATATTTGGCAAAGTTAGTTTCAATCTTTATCAACCGCATAGAATCATAGAGCTGGAAGAGACCTCAGGAGGTTATCAAGTCCAGCCCCCTGCCCAAGGCAGGACATAGTTCAAGGTTGCTACAAAATCTAGTTCAAGGTTACTTTATTATCTGCTGTTGCAGCAGAAAATAATGACAAATGTCTAGAATGGTACAAACTATTAAATAATACCTAACATCACGTAGGGAATGCAAGTCGTATAGTATAGCCACAACAGATCCCGTGGTAAAATAAATACATAACCATTTTAAAATACTGTATTCGGTAATTTTTGAGATTATTAAAATCTATTAAAACTTGACATCTCTCTTTCAGTACACTCCAGCAACTCAGTATACTTGACTCAAAACATATAAAAGAGCTTTTCTTACATAGAGAAATATCATAGCACTATTTTAGACATTTACTTAGCAAATAAATGAATATATTTTAGTTTTGTTGTTCCTCTGAAATCATGTTTTCTGTTGCTCTAGTGAGCATGTTCATGATGCAAAATATACTAGTTTACACAAAAGGTAAAATAATGCTTATTAACATAACTATGGCATAGCTTATTAACTGATAAAACAGCATACAAACAAATATAAATAACAGGTCTTGGGCAACAAATAGCTTTTATTAAAATAAATAAAATGTTGAATTGTTTGTATTTTTTACTTACTACATTGACTAAATAGATGAAAATTAATTTGAAGTGATTCTCTTAAGGCATTACATTTAATTTGATAAATACCACTCACCAGCTGCTCAATCCGCTCATAAATCAGAAACTGGGAGAATGCTAGCTTAATGGGCTCAGCGGTATATTTCATTTTGCCATCTTCTAAGTTCTCCAAATCATTCAAAGTATTTCGAAAATGATTGTATGCCTCACATGTAATGTCCATATGTCTTAAAGTGAAGTTCAGTCTGTCAATAGAGTATCTATTTAAAATTGATCTCATAATATTTTTTACTATTCCTTGTTTTAAATAGCTAGTTAACTTCCTCAAATACAGTAGCAGAGAGAAAAACTCAACATAAATACCATAAATGTATTTCCATTGAGGTCAAATGGTTCTTTTAATAGCAAGTGTGTTATCCTAATCAGAAACAGAACACTGATAAGTTCCGGGTAAAATTTGTTTCAAAGGAAGAAAGTACCTTCTAGGGATGTGAATGTGTGTCCGTGTACATGGTTCACCTACGAGCCTCATTGGTTAACCCTCAGTTACACTCAGCTACTCCTCCCCTCCCTTACCTCCATGTTACTGCCTCTGTATCAGAGGTGGGGGAGGGGGCAGGAGAGGAGGGAAGAGGCGGAAGTCAGTGCTCAGCGGGAGCCAGCTTTCAAGTCAGCTCCCCACTCATACTGAGTTCTGTCAAACCACTGCTGCTCTGTATCAGAGGCAGCAGCAGGGAGGGGAACAGACAGGAGCCAGTGTTTCTGGGGAGCCAGATCCCTCCTGCCCCTGCGTGTAAATGTGTCACTGCTGAAAATTTAAGTAGTGACATGTTTACAAAAATAAACAAATATTAACATCCCTATACTCTGCCTTCTCACCAATTTTGGGCCATTTTCTCCATGTGGATTCAGTCTTGTGATTTGTATTTCTATGGAAAATTATATCAATGCCCACACAGAAAGCAGATCTACAGAGACCCAAACAAGGTCTGTTAATTATTCACATTTTAACATAGGAATAGGCAGTCACACTCATTCTTACTCAAAAAAGAACAAAGTAATTTAGTACAATAAATTATATTAAAAGACTATTATGGCATTGACTTCAACCCCACAAATAGTCTACATACATCTATTTGCATAACTCTACCCAAAGATGGCATGACATAGTACATAATAATTGTAATGGTTTATCTTGTTTTTTGTAGGTTCAGAACCTAGAATACTAGGAGGCTAATGAACATACTGTGCACTGAATATTCATTGAAATGTCTGACCAGTTAACACTATGAGAATCAGAACATTTAATTTTGAAGCAAAACCAAGATCTTATAAAGGAAGGTCCAGATGGCACTTACCTCTTTTCTATTGATAAGTAAATCGAACAAGAGTTTTTCAAGTTGTGAGTGATTTTGTACAGTATTTTGAATAAAGCATCTGTTAAGTCATCATCATAAAAAACTAAAATAGAAAAAAAATCAACATAGGGATGAATGGTTGACTGTTTTAGTCACACATAACCTTAAACATAATACAAACATCCTTACTTATGCAGATTATTTCTAATCAACAATCTTTGGGACAAATCCAGAGAGTATAGCAGAAAGTACAAAGGGCTTTTAATGGCAACAGTTGACTTTCCTGTATTAATTACAATTGCTCTTTGTCAAGCCTTCACCAGTTTGGGCAAGTCAACACTATGGGGACAGGTCAATCTAAGCTATACAATTGGCATTACATTAGTAGCATATACTAGATGTGAAAAATTGACCTTCACTGGATGATCAATGCCCATCAATCCAGCCTGTAGTGAAGTCAATAGAAATCATTAGCATGGAAACAGGCATTATCTATAAGGAGACTCTCTCCCAACCAAGAAATATCTTAAAGTATATCTTAAAGGAACGAGCAGACATAAATCATGAAGCCTTCTATCTCATACCAGCACAAAATAGTAGTAGCTCTACTCAACTTAAAGTTAAATTTCATAGAAATTTCTTAAAGTCAAAAGATATAGTATGCCAAAAACGGGGAAAAAAGCCATCCAGGTTATCCTCAGCATCATAATTGTATGATGTATAAAAAGCTTTGCTTCCTGATCTGTCTGTCTGTGTAAGTCCTGCCTAGTGTCTTTAAAAAATGAGTTTGACAAATTCAGGCATTACTTACTATGAAACATTGCATAACAGCTATACTAGAAAATATTTAGCAGAAAGAAAAGGCTGAAAGTGTGTTCAAACTGTATAAAAAAAGAGTAAATTACATGATTTTCAAGGAAAAAAGTCTCTTGTTTTTCCAAAATCTACAGTGAAAGGTACAAAGTTCAAAAATAACATCTAAATAATTTTCTGAGAGAGGAGGTGTGGTAAGTTCACTACTAACTGCAGGAATTGTAAATGGAGCACAAGAAAAACTGCTTCAGAGAAGTTAAAATGTCATATATACAGGCAGTCCCCGACTTACGTCGGATCCGCACTTACGAATGGGGCTTTTCTCGCCCTGGAGCTCACGGGCGGCGGGTCGCCACCCGTGTCCTCCGGGGTGAGAAAAGCTTCTCCCGGTCTCCCAGGTCTGCTGGGGGGGTCCAGCAAAGTCGCTGGACCCCCCCCCAGCAGACCAGGGACACCAGAGCAAAGCCGCTGCCTGGGCGGCTTTGCTCGTTTGCTCGGGAGCAAAGCCGCCCAGGCGGTGGCTTTGCTCGGATGTCCCTCG